GTAGGCGCCAATTTCACTCAACTACCGGGATATATCTTTTCTTCACTTTAATATCAATTGTTTATAGTAACCATACGCTTTACTTTACTCCCATTGTCCAAGATTCTAAACCCATTTTAAATTATCATATTACATTCATTTTTATGTTTTTGATTTCTAACATTTTATTGATTTAAATGTGAAACATATAGCTTTTTCCGTGATATTTTATTAATTTTAACGTCGAGCATACACTAATCATCTACAGTTTATTCATCTTGTTTTAGTCCCATATGTGTTTTGAATTCATGTTTAAGATTTTGTCACGTTTCATAATTTATGTTGTATTTAAGTTGCAACATGTATGTGTGCGGAATAACTCACATTTTATTTTTGAATAATAATATATGCAAGGCTTGATTTTTGGCTTTTTTAAACTGATCATTTGATTAATCATAACTTACAAATTTATTTATTCATATTAAAAATATACCATAATTTGAATTGAATGTTAACATATTAAATGAGATTAAATAAAATAAATTTTTTATTACATCCGGTTCTAAAAGCAAACAAAATCAGTTAGCCTTGTTGAAGCTCTCCTCTTTCGCGAGTCTTGACGCCTTCCTGCTGACTCATCTTCGACCGTTGCAACCTTCTCCTGAACAACATCCTTTTATTGAGCTACCTTCTGGGCCCTTGTGGCTATACTAATATCACAGTCAGTAGGATAACATTCAGCTTCGACAATTGTCTAACTTTTAACAAAAATGAACAAGTTATAAACGATTAGTTGAGTGACCGATTTATAATTTTTCATAGTCAAAGAATTCATTAACTGTAACACCCCAACCCGTACCCGACTCGAATACAAGTCCGAGGTGTCACATTGACTTTTCAAACTTTGACTCTTTTGAAAAACAGAGAAATTTAAAACTTTGTTTAAAGCAAAATACGTTAATTTACATAAAAAAGGACCACAAAATACAAACTCCATCAGAGTACTCATAATTAACGACTTATTACATGCCAACACTCTATACACACCAAAATACATACTTTGTCGATTACTTCGGATCTGATCTTCTAGTAATAATAATGTCCTTGCCACTTCTATTCTTGCTCTTCTCGTTTCTTGGTACCTACGTGTAAATCACTTACACGCTAAGTCATAGACTTAGTGAGGCAATAAATAAACATTTAACAACAAATTCATGAATGTGCATTCTTATCATTTGATCATGACATTTCAATATGCATGTATCTATTACATGATAACATATATAAGCATGTCATGCACATGTAAAACTTACCTTCTTGTGCCACTTTCACTTTAATTTATCTTTCAATTGCATTGCCCATGTATATTATTGAGAATAGAGGTATGCGAGTACACTGAGGTTGTGCACACATATGCTGTCACCACAGCTCATATAAATGTCCCGAAGGACCTATCATCCCCAAAGGATGCCATCTGTGTCCCGAAGGACCTGTCATCCCGAAGGATGTAATCTGTGTCCCGTAGGACCTATCATATGTCTTATAGGACATATGTAACCCTCGACTCTTGGCATGCCAACTATACCTATAACTCTCGTATCATATACTATGGGCATTTATTATGAATACATTTCTCATCACTTGTTCTTTCTCTTTTATCACATACCACATGTATGTGTAACCATGTATTTCATATCATATCACATGTATCACGTATTACATATTCATATGTCATTTCATATCATATCACGTATTGCATATTCATATATCATTTCATATAGTCATATAGCTTATCTCATTTCACGTTGGTCATGTCTCATAGCATATATCACATATGCATATTATGTAACATATATAAAAACCTATACTCATTTCATGTATTCATGCACATATAAGAATCACAAATCAAATAACATTTTAGGAGTCACTTCTTACCATAGTAACTCCATCACTAACTCATCGCAAGCCAATGTTCGTTCAATTATATAAGTACAATTAAAATTGCACTCACCTTAACCTTGTTTGATTTGAATCAATTATAATCCCTTGATTATTCTAGAGCTTGTTTAGACTCAATATCTACATAAATATAACATTTCAAAACAACTATCAGAAGCCTAAACTTTAAACTTGATGTTAATAACTTAAACCGATTTAATGAATCAAATTCCATTTTTTCATTTAGGGGGGAATCGATACCCCCCAGAGGGAATCTGTTCCCAGGGAATCGATACCCCCCCAGGGGGGAATCTGTTCCCCCTGCACATACTGGAATTTTTCGTCCAAGAGGGGGAATCGATTCCCTTCATAGGGTATCGGTTCCCTCTACCCAGAAATTGTATTTTAACCCCAAAAATCATCAATTCTTCACTTAATTCTTTTATTTTAAACCCCTATCATGTCATTAAACTCAACTACCATTACTTAAACCAACTTATATCCATGAAAATCATCTATAACTTCAAAATCCTATTCTTCATATGTAATTCAAGAATCATACTCAAATTTCAATATGTTCTAAATACAATTCTAATACTTCATATTCCTTAATTAGCATGATGACAAGTCAAATTTAACTTCAAATTCAACTTATCAACTCTTTTCCATGATTTCATATAAAAACTCGTTTTCTTAAATCTCTTATAACTTCTTCATCTTTTGATTATAAGACAACTTAAGCTTTCCTTAAGCTTAGTTATCATCTAATGATCAAAACCTAACCTTAAAATCAACAATTAATTAACAAAATAGAAAACTCACCTTTGATGTCTCTCTCTCTCGTATGGAAGAACAAAGGAGGAGAAGAAGAAAATCTCTATATATTTCTTCTTATCCATTCCCCCGTATATATCCCATTTTAATTCATTTAATGGTTAAATGATCATTTTGCCCTTTAATTCCTTTAATAATTATTAATAACTTTCAGGAAATATTTCTGAACAAATCATTAAACTATTCAAATATCCTACTTCGATCACCAAACTCTGAAGTTTTATAATTTAATATAAAAGATACACAAATTTATAGATTAAAATGTGATATATATATATATATGTGTGGTTAAGATAAACTTACACAATGCAAAATTCTTTAGTTTTACATAGATTTAAGACCGTTGGATAAATGAAAATAGCTGATTGAGATTGACTCATTGTTTTTCTCCAATTAATATCTTCTCATTTCCTACCGTTAATCTCAACAATCTATTTTTACTTATCTAAGTGTACTAAATCTGTTTTTAGTTTTACATTATAACATGATCACATCTTTTATATATATATATATATATATATAACATGGATCGTGGAATCTAGACTTTATTTAGCTGATACTTGGAGACTGTAGACACTTGAAGTTGAAGTAATGAGTTACATCATTCTTGGTTTTGAAAAGCATGCTATTTCCTTGCACATTTTAACATATAACCAACCAACCGACAAGTGTATTCCACATCCTTGTCTCATATCATTGGGTTCAACTTGTTAGTTACATTTTATCGCGGTTAATTAACCACCCACTTCATTATTACTATTACTTTTCTAAGGTAGGATTCTAAGAATTACCAATGCCATTTAAGTACTATCATCCACCCACTTTAGTAATTATTAGTGTTGTATTTGTCTTTGACCGCGTTGTTAGTGGTAAATCAATATATTATTATTTTAGCCTGATGATATAACTTTATTAATTTAAACGGTAGAAGAGTGCGTTATTTTTTTTAAGTTTTGTGTTCAATTAATTTTATATATAGGATATGCGTACGTTGTCAATGATTAAATAAAATTCTAAATATTTATTATCTTATAATTACACTAAACTATTAAAAAATGATTAATTTATATTTAAATTCAATTTGATCTAATTTGATCATAAAATATTAATAATTCTAATATATCCAATGTAAATCAAAATAGAATGCATTTAAAAATAACTTAAACTACAAAAAAAAAAACCTTAGTTTTTTCTCTTTTTATTTACCATCTGCAAGTCTTTTTATTTATTTATTTATTTATTTTGTCAACGACAATATTAGTTTTGGTGCTAGTTCTGACTGACAATTTTATCTTTATCATTTTTTTCCATATCCCGTTTGAGTTTGTTATTTTTCTCAAATTAATCCTAATTTTTAATAAAAATCTATTTTATTTGACTTCTTACTCTCTAGATATTTTACGTATTTTCGTGTTCCTTTTTGACACGTTTTAACTCTACTCTTGTGGCAAGTTTCTTCTGTCTTATGACACATTGTTCCCCTATCTTTGTGGTAGATATGTGACCGTGTAGAGATTCTCACGTCGTTCGTATCTGATTTGTGATTATCGGTAGTCTTTCAGTGGTTAGATTCAATTATATGGTTGTTTGTCGATGTATTTGTATCTATTTTACGAAGCATCATGTAAGTTTGTTTTGATTCACTCGACACTCCTTCATCATCTTTAAAGCGTATAGTTGGATAGAGACGAAGGAACGCTATTGATGATGACTGGGTTACTATGAACGATGGACATCAAATTCAAAATAAGACTTCAATTGTTATTCTGTCATTGGATTTTCTTTTTTATTTTCTTTTATTTTTTTTAATATTTTTTTGGTGAACATTGTTCCTAAAATTCTCTTTGTGATTGGTTATATTGTTAAGGTTGTATATTATTTTGTTTCAATAAAATTCAATATTGTTTCAAAGTTAAAAAAAACTTAAACTACAATAGACTTATTCTAAGATGATTTAGAAAATGATCCAACCCAAAATAATTCAATCTTAAATTATTATAATTTAAAAAATGACGTGATGATTTAACAACTCAAATTAATCTAATCTGGATCAATATGACCCATACAATCAATATATTTGATTGTATATACTGAAATGTGAGACTAAATTCATTGTATGATTTAAATGGTTAAAAATAATGTTATTTTTTTAAAAAAATTTAGGTTCGAATAACTGAATTTACATGTTGTGTATGCATTATTAATAATTAAGAAATATTCGAAACATATACTACTTTATAATCACATACTATTTGGATCAAAGTATTTGTGATTTTAGTTTAGCATATTGTGGAAGTCGGTTTGGACAGTCTCATCGATTCGGTTTGGATCTTAAATTTAGAAACCTTTTAAACCGATTTTTAATAAACCGGTTTGGATCTTTTTAAATAATATATAAACCCAAACACAATACGCTAATAACACTACCCAAACCCAAATATCAGTCCAGCCCAATTAAAATTTAATTTTAAAACCCAAACTAAATAAAAAAACTCAACCCAAATAAAAATATCATTCATTAACAAAAATAAATATTAATAAAAAATAGATTAAACTACTCATTTAGTCACCTAACTATTTCTGTGGTTCGATTTAGTCACTAAACTATTTTTCTTTTAAAATCATATCTAAAATTATGTTTTTATTCCGTTTTGGTCACCCGTCATTAAAAATAAACAGAACAACTGACGTAATAAATTTTTTATTTTTTATGATGAAATGACATTATCTTATAATGACACATTAATTAATTTTTTAATGAAGGGTAGCCAAAACATTACTTTAGATATGATTTAAAAAAAAATTAAAGAAATAGTTGAATGACTAAACATGTAGTTTACTCTAAAAAAAATCCAAAAGTCTAGAACAAAAAACCTAAGTCCCTCCCTCATCCATCTCACTCGGCAGCAGCAAACTTCACGACCTCAGCAGCGTCCCGCCTCAGTCTTCACTTCAGCAGCAGCAAGATAGCCGGCTACTGCCGCCTTTGTCAACGACGGTATATATTGCCGCTTTATCTTTCAACAGTTGCACTTTCGATATCTCCATTTCATGATCTAGAACAATGGGGTTTGGAGCTTTAAGAAGTATCGCTCGACCGCTATGTCGGACTCTCCTATCTCAGACCTCCCCTGCTTCTCGAACTATATCGACTCTCCCCTCTTCGTTGTGTACTAAACCCTGTTTGAACTCCTTTATGGGTGGGTCAGTTTACCGCCAATCTCCATGGACCTCGATGTCAAATCAACTGCATAGCTTAACCGATACTCGTTTCGCAAAGAGAAGGCCTCAAGACAAGCCACGCCGAAAAAGAGCCAGCTTGAAGCCCCCAGGTAAATAATTAAGCATCCCTTCATTTTTTTTTGTTAATTTATCTCTTCAGGGTTTACATTTGGTTTTTCCCCCCTGTCAAATAGTAGAGCTTTATGTGGAATTAGGGTTTTAGAAGCCAATTAGGAAGAAAGCTTTTCTTTTCCCTTTAAAGATGCCAATTTTAACGAAACCCGAAGTTATTGGTGAATGAATGGGGAAAAGGAACTGGAAATGCTAATGAATTTAAGAATGCAGGTCCATATGCGTGCGTAAAGCATACACCAGGGGAGCCTATTCTCCCAAATAATCCGAATGAAGGGAGTGTCAAAAGAAGGAACGAGAAAAAGAGAATGAGGCTGCGCCGTGCATTTAAATTGGTTTGTTTCCATCAAACCACATTGAAAAAGTTTTTCTGATTTCTGATTCACATAGCAATTTATCAAGTTTGTGATATTATTTTTTTTATCAAGTTATGAGTGATGAGGAAGGAGGTGCCTTATATTTCTAGTTGTACGCATTATCAAGCATTTTTTCCTTTAATTATAGTTGCATTAAATCTTCAATATTCATTTTATTGGTTGGTTGCCTTTTGAAGCTATGATCTGCATAACTGGTTACATTGTCTAATATATTTAGAAGAGATTAGAAGGTGTATATATGATCAATTTCGTTAGTCAATGATTTTGGGATGTGAAATGAGGGCAGGTAGGTTCATGTTTCCTGAATAGATTGTGTCCCATTTTCAGAATCATTGGGAGAAGGTTCATGTTAACCATAGCCCGACGTAAACGTTCAGGCTGATGCTGAATTATGTGTATGGATGAACCGATTTATTTCATAACTTTGGTTATTAATGCCTGTTCAATTTTTGGTTCATTTCATTTAAAAACTAGCATTTGGTTGCGACAACTTTATTGAAATCTGTCTTTAATCGGTAATTAATTTCATATTATGCCTCTACCATATTGTTTCCTGGGGATTGCATTGATTCTGGAGAAAATGCTTATGTCTTGCCGTTGGGTTCTACAGGCAGAGGCAAAGAAGAGGAAAGCTCAGTTGCAGGAAGCTAATCGAAAGAAGAAGATAAAGCAAGTAGAACGTAAGATGGCTGCGGTGGCAAGGGAAAGAGCTTGGGCTGAAAGGCTGGTAGAACTGCAGCGGCTTGAGGAAGAGAAGAAAAAGGCCATGGCTTGAAACTTTCACTTGCTTATGTACCCGTTGTCTTCCGATGCTATGATGATTTTGTGACGGTTTATAAGAACCTCTAGATTGTGTTTCCTTTCTAATGTTTGGTTATTGCTAGCCTACATAATGACACATCTGATGTTGGTTTCTCTAGTTCTTCACTTTCTCTAGTGTAGGATTAGGAAACATAAAGGTGTCGAAAAGTTCGTTTTCTTAGACTTGGGTGAGAACTTATTTTTAAATTGGTGAATCAAGATCTGAAATAAGTTGGGGCCAATTTTTACCTTTTAGTGATGAATTATTGCCGAGGGACCTAACAGAGAGACATGAAAGTATAAAATTTCCTTTTAAGATATGCTTCACTCCATCATGTTTGAAGATTCTTGTGGTACCATTTCTTACCTTTTTGTTTTTGGTCTGACGACTCACATTGTCAATTAGACTGTGGCTCAAAGTGTTTCTAAATTGGGCTGACTCGTATTGTCGGTTGGGTTGTGTCTTGAAGTTTTTCTAAATTAGGTTCTCACATTGTCAATTGGGTTGACTTACATTGTTATGGATATAGTTTGCATGTTTATAATTTAGGCCAGCTCGCAGTGTTGGGAGACGTAAGGTTAAAACTTGGATCCTGGGGAACTTGCAGTGTTTGTTATTAACGGATTGATGAGTAATTTAGCTTACTAGTTCAGAAAGGCATGACATACGGACTGTTAATTGCATGTATTGTTATAGTTACCATTATGGCCTACTGTAAAGCTCTTCTGTTTGTACTGTTACTATGTAAACTTTGTTTGATAATGTTTATCATCAGCACCGTTAGACCCATGTGAGTTTTGAGCTCACCCTTTCCTTCAACTCTTCGTTTAAATATTATAGGACGCTAGGATCGAATTGGTATTCAGAGAATCAGTCTCAATTTTTTTTCTTAATTTTAATTAAATAAATTTGGTATACGTTTTATTTCATATTATGACAGGATTTTATAAAAAAAAATTTGAGATATTTAATATTACTAATTTATGTATAGTTATAATAAAAAGAAAAAAAGTTATTCCATTACAATAGAGGACAGGCACAAATACCAGCATCAAAGTAAGATTGTCAAGCAATTAATCTATTCGAACTTCTCCTTTTATTGGGGAGGCAATTGTTCAATTCCAATCATAGCTATCCTTTTCTCAAAATATAAATAAAATCAAATGAAATAAAAAATGAATTTTTTTTTAAGATCATGAAAGATAGAATATGAAAAGATGATAATGCAACAAAAACCCGACGCATGGAAAGGAGCAAGTTTTCAACTTGTGGTACCACAGGCAATTGCTGGTTCATCCACATTGTTGTAAAACGTGCTTAATTTAGTTATGGCAAGTGCCTCTCCAAAAAGTGATGCTCTTGAAGACTTTGTTATATGGACTTCTACATAATCACCGATAACAGGATTCCTTTTCTTATCCGTTTGATTATCCCGATCTAGCAAAGGAAGATTAACAAATGCAACTTTATGGCCTTTATCGCTTTTTCCAATAAGCTCTGTATCTAGAGCTCTCTTGTTTAATCCTTCAACCAGTACAACTTGGATGGTTCCAATCTGAGAGTCGTAGCACTGACCTGTACTCTCGCGGAAAGCTTTGATAAGTTCAGTAAGCCTCCTTTTCTTGATTTCTTCAGGAACATCATCGGTGTAGTTTCTGTGGGCATGTGTTTTCTCCCTCATGCTGTAAGCAAACATGTATGCCATATCATAACCAACAGCCTTTACTAGGCTTAGTGTGTCAGCATGTTCCTCTGTTTCACCGCAGAAACCTGCACCATTGGATCCCGACAATAAGAACACCAGAAACTTGAGGCTACCATTCATACATAATGAAGATCAGTCACTGGCAGCAACTCTAGCAGCAATGCATCAGCAGATCATCGAACACCAACAGCGCTAATTTTTACAATAACTGATAATTAATGCCAACCCTTCATAGTCCATACTAAAGGTAAAATGTCCAACTTCCAAGTTCCAAATATAAGTAAATAATCGAAATGGTAAATCAGAATAAGATGATAATAACTTACCACATATAAAATCACTGGTTATTGCAACGTCTGGGATGATTTTGCGTATCTTCTGAACAAGTTCTAAATAAGCCTCTCTACTATATCCCCGACGCATTCTCTCAAGCACTGTGGTACTCCCAGTTTGTGCAGGCAAATGGATGGACTTGCAAATATTATGGCGGTTGTGCATCAGATACAGTAATTCATCTGGAAAATCTTTAGGGTGTGGGGATGTATATCTGAACCTCATCTCTGGAAACTCGGTAGAAAGTCGGTCTAAGAGGTCAGCAAAACGCAAGCCCATATTCTTTACCTTACACATGCTTTTAAAGCCATCACTCAACTCCCAATTACTTCCTGGTTCAACGTCTTTTTCACTACCAGATGCATCATTATAACTATTCACATTCTGTCCAAGAAGTGTGACCTCTTTCACACCTTGTTCCCAAAGCTCCCCCACCTCCTTCACTATAGACTCCACAGGACGAGATCTTTCTCTGCCTCTAGTAAATGGAACAATACAAAATGAACACATATTATTACAACCCCTCATCACAGACACAAAAGCCGTAACCGAATTCTTTGAAATCCTAACAGGGCTAACATCTGCATACGTCTTCGAGGGAAAGAAGAGTGTTAATCCCTTTCTGACCATAATCAACCTCTTCCAACAACCTCGGCAAGTCTCTATAAGCATCCGGCCCACAAACCACATCAACCATCTTATCAGCATCCAGAATCTTATCCTTTAACCTTTCAGCCATACATCCTAACACAACCACTTTCGGAGGGTGCAACGACAATGATCTTCCATTAGCTATATTATTCTTCCAACGCCTCTTCAAAAACCAAAAGTAATTAAGCCTTTGCCACACGTTTTGTTCAGCATTGTCCCTTATAGCACAAGTATTAATAAATATAATCTCCGCACTCTCTGGAACTTCCACAGTTTCAGTATGTCCAGCGTTCTTCATAATTGATAGCACAATTTCCATATCATTTAAATTCATTTGACATCCATAAGTTTCATGATAAATTCTACCCTTTGAAGCAACTTCTGAAATCGGTGCATCACTAGACAAAATACTAAAACCAAATAAAAAAATAAGATATTTTAAAATAAGTACTTGTTTTCTCTTGATCTACTTATGAATTTCATCTCGAAAAATAAAATGTTAATCCTTCTGCTTCAATTTATCAAAATTTGATCCTCGTACTATTATAAAAAACAAAAAAGCTTAGTGCAATTGAGTAATATTATTAAACATGTATATGAAAGAAAAACACAGTTTAACGAGTTCTATGAAATAAATTAGTAAATATCAATAGTTCGAGTTATGAATTTACCAATAATTGAAACCAATTCTCAGTTTTCGTAAAATATGAGAATCAAATTAAACAAATCAAAGGAAAACAGACTAATTTTTCAGTCTCTTTTTGTTGCAAATAGAGGCATGAAATTCTTAATTTAACCAGATTTCTTCCTTGAAAATTTACTTAATAATTCCACGCATAAGAACAGAAGTAAATGGAAAAAGAGACTTACTCAGGTTGTGCTTGAGAGGCGGAGAGCGAAGCTTGAGAGATGAAGTGTTGGAGAGTAGAGGCTTGGTGTTGAGGAGGCGGTGAGATTCAAAGAAGCTTCTGGAAACGTCGAGAGCGAAGCGTTTTCTGAGCGGCCGGTGCGATAAATGGCGATGGGGATTGGAACGGGAAACTAACGGCTTTGAAGAGAAGAGCCTAAGAGTGCTAAAGCAGCATCGCCGATGGATTCTAATGCAGCAGATGCCCGGTTGAGTGAGAATGGAGGCCATTGGAACCATTTCGTTGTGTGAGTGCTCTGTATTATTACTTCAACGCGACTACACCGACAGGAAAAGGATAGGGAACTGGGGAAAGGATCAAAACGCTGCGTCTAAGCAAAAGAAATAGGAAAAGGTTAAATTTCATGATTTTAGCCCCGTCTTATTCTAAACTTTAGAATAATCCATGTATTTGGCATAATTTGGGGCTCCTACTTTTATAATATTATAAATTAGTCCCGATTAATTGAGCTTATTACGGTGCTTGTCTCCGTGAATGTTTTACTATTACATAAATAAATTGATCTTATTATTGTTCTTGTCTCCGTAATGAATTACTATTGTCGCGGCCGTCTTTCAGGTGGGCCCGAAATTGGGCTTCGACTTGAAAAATGTGGTTAGAGTCGTGTTGAAAATATTTTGATGTTTCGATATAACAAATTAAGTATAAATGAATTTTAAGATTTTACAAAGATTTTTATAAGTATATTCGATTCAATTAATCGAATATCAAATTATTACTCCAAGTCTTTCAAGATCAATTTCAAACCTTACTAAATGTGTAAAATTGTGTTTTATACTTAAACTTTTTTTTAAACAATTTTCACAAAGTATTTTGAACCAAAATCAAGCCTAAAATCAATTTTTCAAAGTGATGCATCGATGCACCAATCCATGCATCGATGCACCATGGAATAAATTGAACATCGAATGCGTTTGATGCATCGATGCACTGAGGATTTTATGAAAACATTGAATGCATTTGATGCACCAACCATGCATCGATGCACTCTGACTATTTTGAAACATAGAATGCACTTCATGCATCGATGCACTAAGGGTCCAACGATCAAAATATTTGAATTTTACACTTGATGCACCGATGCACCATGGGTATGCATCGATGCACTGACGCTCCCAACTGATTTAATTAATTGTTTTCACACTTAAACGGCATTATTGACTCCACTAATCATCCCCAACGTCCAGAATCAATTGAAGGAGTATTTAAATAAGCTTAGAAGCCATTGATCAATAAGATAAAACAAGTAGAAACAACAAGCAACTAAAATCAAGAGAGAATCAAAGAGAAAGCATCAAACTTATTGTTTGAGCACTTCAAGCCTATTTTTCATTCAATATTCATTTTGCTTTCAAGAACACTACTTGTACTCAATTGTATTCATTTTTTAGTGTTCTTTTCTTTGTTCTAGAATTATGCAAACAATCTACCTTGTGAGGATTTCCTTGTAAGTTTGCAAATTTGTAATATTCTCTTTGAGAAAGAGTGTTCTCAAGAATTGAGGTATATTCTTAAGAGAGTTGTAAGGTTATCTCTTTGGCCTCAAAAGAAAGAACAAATTAGTGAATTTGTTGGAAAATCCTTAGTGTGGATAGC